GTACGTAAATTAGAGTGTGAAAGTTGTGTGTTAAGCTCGGGTGTCGGAGGCGTCCCGGGACGTCCTCTCTAGTTTAGGTCTCTGCGCCCGAGTAGTATGTGTGAGAACCGTGGAATGAATGTGTTGGTGTGCCTGTTTTGCCATTTTTTAAATATAGGGCGATTCGTTAGGATAGGTAGCTTACTTTCTGGTATGCCTGTGTTTAATTATAAGTAGGTAGGGCCGGGCAGGTTGGCACAGTCTCTGGTCGCGTGTTCCCTTTTCGCGTGTCCAACCTGTTTCAGGAAATTTAATTTGAAAAATCGAAAGTAAAATTGGTACAAATGGAGCATGTCACTTGTTTCTGGTTTTACTCTTCGATTTTTCGAATTTAGTATCGCGATCGCGGTCGTGGATAGGCCGCGAGTAGGTCCCGAAACGAACGTTTATATAGGTATTGCTCGAGCACGCACATGCGAACGGACAACGATCACTATGATCGATGGTCGTCCATGTGTATGGGGGTCAGCTTCCGCGGTTTATTTTTTTCTTTCACCTTTGTAAGTTAATTTTTGGTTTGCGATTAAAAAAGACTCGAGCTAGACGTAAGTTTCAGCGGGCATTGCGCTCGAAGAAAGAAGTGGCTAGAAGCCGAAGAGGCCCGGCAAACTGCCACGAAGAGGGTCGCAACAAATGATTTCTTATTCTCTGGATCATTTAAATGATTCCATAGCATGGGAAGTCATTCTCGTTACTACTTTGTCACTGTGCTCTTTTAGTATTTGTAGTTGTATTTTTTTTTCTTCTCTATTATTATTTATCATTTTTCTGGGCAAATCGCGATTTTTCTTGTTAGTGTTGCCAGAAATTGATCATGGTTTAAATTAGAGTCGCGAAGAAATGATAATCGTGTTTGCTTTAGAATTGCGACTTACGATACCGCGATTGTTTTTAGCAATTTTGATTGTGAATTTTTGAAGTTATTTGAGAATTATACATAGAGTAAAATTTATCTTGTTTCCTATTGTTTTAAATTAGATTATAGTGTCAGGTTTTAATTAATTTTAGAATGTTAAAATATTTGAAGTAGTTTTTGTGTTCATACAGCAGCTTTTATATTGTTACAATAATAATAATAATAATTTGCATTCAGTTTAGTTTTAGAGTTAACGTTGCGACATTATTTCATCGCGATTTCTAATTACTTTTACTCTTAGTATTGCGATAATGAATGATCGCGTTTCTTGAAATAGTGTTGCGTTTACAAAATGCCTACATTCTTCCACTGGATTTGTGGAAGTTTGTTCCTGCTCCTGGATCACCTGGTACAGCTACAAGAGCTGTACACCGGTGATCATTCATTAGCAACCTTCAGCATGGTTGCACTAGATGCGTCGCATTAGTGTTGCGTGTTTTTAAAGACGAGTGCATAGATTAATAGCGTTGCGTATTTATTTTCGGGACTTTTAAATAGGACGAAGCATTCTTCGCGTTTGTCTTTGAAAATTTCTTATTTTATAATTAGTAGTATTAGTAAGTTAGTGTTGCGAAACAAGATACGGTTTATTGTTCGGATTCATGTCGGATGTAGATTTGACAATAGCCCTTCCGGTTATTGTATTGAATCGGAATACAATAGTTCTTTCAGTAGCTCTTTTGGCTACTGTATTGCGATTTTTTTTTCAGTGTCCCTTCTGGCTGTTGTTTTAGAGTTTCTTTGTCAGTAGCCCTTCTGGTTACTATTTTAGATTTTCTTTGTCAGTGACTCTTCTGGTTACTGTGTTAGGTTTTCTTTCTCTGTACCCCTTACCACTGCGTTTGTTATTGAAAATACTGCTAAAAAATATATAGTTTTTTATTAGCCACAACTTACCAATCTAAATCCAATTAGAAATTCTTTCTTTCTGTTTTTATAATTTCGAGTCAGAAAATGATTTAATTGAATTAATATGGTATAGTTATAAAGTAATATTTTAACAGTAACCTGCATTTTTTTATGTGTATAATATATTTTCATTGCAGATCTTTTCATTTAAATTTTAATATTAATCCAATATATGAGTTTGTTTCAGATATATCAATGTAGATAGTATTATATAATTACAGAAAATATATAGAGATATGTATGTACATACACAGAAGATTTAAAAAGATTGAATATGAATTAAAAGAAGTGTCTAAGAGGAAAAGATTATTACAACAAAATGATGTTTCATCCAACTGTAAGTAATAGTTATATTTTACAGATTTTGCTAATTTTTTCAGTTTCTAAGATTTTTTTCAGGTACAAATTGTAGAATCAATCGAAGAAGACCTCATATAATACAAAAGACTGTGAAATCATCGGAAAAAAACTTCATATAACATTCACTTTATTTTTTAAAATTATATTTATGTATTTATATAAATAGAATGAATAAAAATCATTAAATTTTTTTGTAAAGACGTTAGGCTACATTATAAAACGTGAATAGAATTCTTTTATATAACGCTGATATATAGTAGAATAATTTCGGTTAGTTACTAATTTCACATTTCGGTATTGAAAATTGACAACATATAATGGATTTCAAAAATTATATTTCTGGCGCATTCGCTACTTAATCAACTTCGATCGTTTTAGTTGATGTAGTTCCTTAACTCACCGTTGTTAAGTATAGAGTGCGCTAAAAAACAGTGATTTTTTTACTATGTCGGTATTTGAGAGCAAGAGACATATAATCCCATAAGGTGCTTGGTCTATTCATTTATTTTGTCTGTGGTAGTATTTTTTAAAGATAAATTTATGATCTTGGTGAAAATGACCAGTGAAATGTTTTTTTTAACCGAATTATTATTTGCAACTCTTTATCCAATATGTTATGTTTAAAAATCTGCCAGAATTATATTTTTATAAACTATAGTTAATCTATAATTTGCAGGTTAATTCTTTTGATGAGTTTCATTTGGAAAGTATCTCTTTCTAATCAAGCTTTGTAAAAAATGAAATCATGAGGTTAAAATAGATCAGATATATTGTTTATGAACATTATGAAAAAAAAGTTGCAAAACGAATTAACGTGTGTGTGTATTTATTCTAACATTAGTCTTTAAATAAATTGTATGCAAAAAAATAGTAAGTTATATAAAATTTAAATTTAAAATTAATTTTAAATATCCTGTTCTGTATTCTCTTTGTTATTTCACAAAAAGAAAATTTTAATTTGAACTATTAATATATTAAATTGATAATGTCATATAAAAAATGTAAATAAAAATTCAATATTCTTAAATGAGGTACAAAAAAGCACTGTATATTATGTCTTGGATGCAATTATATGAGGTACAGAAGGTTTATTTATGACGAATCCACAGTTTTAATTAAAAAATCATACACTTTATTTGAATACAAACTTAAATCTAAAATTGTAATCTATGACAGTGTATATATAGCAATACATAATATTAAAACAATAGAATTATTTGTACATTTCATCTCAGCGAACCAAATTGATAGAAATTGATGAATTAACATTTTTTACTGTTATATTTTTAGTTTTTCTTCTTGAGCAATTAGTTGATTTTTTATTTTTTGTAGTAGTTCTTTTTTAACAGAGTCTGGGACAAGTGTTCTTGCTTTAGTTGTAACCATCGAAAGCAATTTATCATATGTAATATCAACACCATGTTCTTTTATTAATTCCTTGCAAATTAATTTTACTTGATCTCTCCATCCACATTCAATTAATCGACGACGTAGCAATTCTTTCAGCCTGAAAGTAAAGTTATTATTATAAAGTTATCGATTTGATCAAAACATTGTTACAAGAAATAAGAAAATGATACGTGAAAAGTATGCAGCTCAAAGTTAATATTTGGATATTTTAGTCAGAGAATGTAATTAAGAATAGAATACAAAATTTCGTGTACAATGGATATTTACCCGTCGCGATCTCCAACCATAACTAGCTTTTGATGTGGAGCAGTCTTCATTAAGAGGTTTAATTTTATTTACTGTTATATTGTCGAAATTTTACAGCTATTCTTACAATTCCAATTTTGTGGATAATCACACCACTCGGTTCTCGTAAGATAGGTTATGTTGTTTCGTCTTTTCAACTTCATAACCTGTCTCGTTTCTTGCAGACGATGAAGTAATCAAATATAATTGTCGATTACGAAAATATTTAAATTAAGCTTTTTTTTAAAAATAGTGTTAATATTTATTCGTAAGTAGTATTTAATCTTTCTAAAACAGAAAAAAATAGATGATAAATTGTTAAAAGAAAATTTTAAACTTTGACAGAACAATTTTGCACAATGTTTGTAATAATTTTAGAGGTATTATTATAACGATATATATTATATAAGTCATCTTCTCATGAATATATTTGTTCAAATATCTGGATATCATGTATTTATTTTGATTAATAGAATTTTTAATACAGAATTAATCTATATTAATAAAGTAACTCAATACTGTACAATAATTATTGTTTATCATGTTTGTGTAAATAATATTTATCATCATTTCAGAAGATGGCATTAGTACGAGTAATCAATTGCATTTTGTATAAAAGGCTAATGATGGTGTCTAGTCTAAGAAACAGATGTATTCTTCCTAGTTTTCGACAAAATGCATTGTATTCTACAGAGAAATCAGTTGCTGGGAACTTCTCTAAGCTTGGAAATCAAAATAAACGTAATACTAGTATACTATTGAGGTTTTTAAAAATTGATATTTTTCATATATATTTACCACTCTGAAGATTGTATTTATTGCAGTTGATCGAGTACCCTTCGCTCTTGCAGCTATTTCTTGTCTTATAACGCTTTGTATTGGAATTTATGAATGCTTTTCTGATAAAAGTGAATATAATATAATATTCAATACAATAGATTACTGTAATAATAATCCTAAAGTAATACGTGTCCTTGGAAAACCAGTAGTATTAAGGTCATCAACATTTGAAATGTTGTCAGATCTGCAGGGTCATTTTAAAAAGTAAAGTTATTTATGCGTTTATTACTATTTTTTTTTATAGTTATTTTGTCATTAAAAAAATAACATTGCATGTACAAAATATTTTAGATATGAGACCTTCGAAGTGAATGGAGTACAACATGTGAGAAAGGAATTTGATATTATGGGTCCAATAGGAAGTGCAACTGTGAAATTAGAAATGCAAGAAGTAAAGTGTAATGTTTTGATTTTTTTAGATATTTAATTTACAATTAATTTACAATTAAAAATGTATTTACAGGATGAATCTGGCAATTTCGTATATAAATATTTATATGTGTATGTGCATCGTGCGAATCAAGTCATAGTTTTAGAAGACGTTAAAAACCAAAATGATGACAATGAAATAGTTCTAGACGTTAAAAACCAAAATGATGACAATGAAATAGTTCTAGAAGACATTAAAAAGCAAAATGCTGACAATAAGGTGCTTGCAATATAAAAATTATTCGATTATTTCATACAAATATTACATTATTTGATATTCTGTAAAATTTGTGTAAAATAAAAATAGTATTATTTGGAAGCAAGTTTTATATTTCTATCTATATATAAGTCGTGGATCACATAACAGTTATGTAATTAAATATGTTTATATATAATAAGTATTATAATAAGTTCTTAAAAAATATATTAGTCACAATATTTTCCTTTAAAGGTAATAGTCTTTAAATAGAAGCTGCGTCCAAGAAATTCGACGAACGAAATTTTATTTGCATGACTTCATTTCTTTCTGTAAGAATCGAGCAAGATAAGTACAAACTGACATAAATGATAATGAGTGAAATTATGCTTATATCATTATTAATAAAAAAAGTATTATTTACTAAAAAAACATTTACTAAAGAAAGGAGGTAAATAGTGTGATAGTCAGATGAAAACACGTAGGAATCATCAGCATTTCCTATCACCTAAAAATTGATATCGAAGGTTGCGGAGAGATCTTGTCGTCTGCATTATTCTCAATGCCAGCTGATTCTCTTGACAGTCGCTCATTTACTCGCGAGCAGATCGACAGAGCGCGTCGTCTATATTAGTCTGCGTTGGAATCTAAACCGTGGCGTGAAGTCATCCAGTTTTTGTTTAATTTTCAATATTTTTTTTCAAATTATTAAACTGTAAATATTTGAAAATTGTCTCCATGTTAAATTTATCTGATAAATTGCTATTTCCATAACACAGATTTCAACACATTTGCTGCGTTCTCGAATTATTAAGATACAAGTTATTGGAAATTATCCTAAATTCATCAGTTCTTATGCAAAAAATTTGATCAAGTGATCGATACTGCAAGATTCATCATCGATACTGCTTTCCTTCAGTTAATCGAATCAAATGTCTTCTTGCTGGTAATTACGTCTCGTCAAAATAAATCAACGTGAGATGTCTCGTAGAATGATTGAAGTAGAATGATGTCGAAATGTCATCGAATGTATGCCGATGGGAAATAGAGCCTTAAATTTGAAACAGCAGATGGAAGCGAAACGAAAAGCAGTAATTAAATAAGTTATTATTACACTGGATTGTCTATTGTACTGGATCAAAGAAAGATGGGCAAGTTTTGTTCGTGTTTCTCAAGATTCAGAGCAATTTTTAGACCCGAAACTGTTACGGACAGTCCTCTTAGACCAATATGCACAAAACCGGAATGTCTTCCACGGCCACCTGCTGCATCTGATTCTGGTAAGTTTCAAACAATAGTATTTACAAGTTAAATGAATTGTAATGACCGCTTGCTATCTACTTAATCTGTGAATCAACAATTTACTTGCGAGAATTCCTATTGAATACGTAATGACAGTCGCATTTTTATATTTGCAAATGGCTGTAGACGTATACACGTATCTTTTACTTTGGACTTAGCGAAATTAATTTTCTATCGCATCCTTTCACATTGGCGCCGACCGGTGATCCACAGATACCAGGGGTTAATTGGCTATATCTTAGATAAATGATATCGGGGTGATGATGCGTTGGCGCGTGTTAAAAAGATGTCTAGAACTACTGTGCATAAATAATTGGAATTCCATTAAAAGATTGATATCTTTGTTTTGTTTCTATGGTTACGATCGACGAGCGTTCCTCTACTGTTAATTTTCTACATTTTATTTTAACTGAGATTAAATGATTTGAAATAAGAATACATATCACTCGAGTTAGATATACATGTCAATTTCATAATCACAATTTAATAAATTTAAATAATAAACTTTAAGTAATAAATATACTTCATAAGTATACTCTGTACTTTTCGAATAACTAAAAAAAGTATTTCAATTTTTCTAATATTTCAACATTCAACAGACTTAAGTTAAATTACAGAGATTAATTTGAATCATATCTTATATTTGCAACAATTTAGAACTGTCCAAATACTTATGCACAATAGTGTACATATATGTATATTATTTGTATGTATCAATTTTTTGATTTATCGATATATTTCACGATCGTATGAAAAGCAATCTTCTAACGCGATTTAAATAGAAACCGACAGTTTATCGCGCTTCTATTAATACATGTAATGCACTTATGACGGCGGAAGCGAACGAAGCACAAGGTAATTCGCGAAAGATTTCCGAAGTTTCCAGTTCTTGATACAAACGATGTTCTTCTTCTTGTATACAACCTATTTTAAGAAAGCATACGCCAGCCAGCTACCGTATTGGGAGTGCCCTTCGATTTTCGACGTGCGCGAAATGTGCTTTCAATCATCGCTTGTCAAAATTCCTTTAAACTATACTGGAACATTTGTTTTGCATGCGTCACATCTTCAGTTCAAAAACACGTAATTTCGAAAAATCTTCTCTTACTTCTTTTTTCCTAATGTAACAGCAGCTCGCGTTGGCTTGATATGGTTCACGAGATCGAGACGAAGATTTATGAGAAAATCTTGGAGGAGATATTTTTCAGAAGTTTTTAGTCAACAGATATGTTCCGTTGGAAATTAGCAAGCAAACAGAAATCGCGCGAACAACGTGAGCTCCGTTCGGTTTCCTGAAGATTTGGTCGATAGTACTTCACTAAAGAAAATAAACTTCGGCTTCTCAAGCAGATGGGAAATCTCACTTTCTGTTTCTTTCGTGAGCGGTCGACCTAAATCGAATTATTCGACGACTTGTTACGTGTGTAGGTCTCTGTTTTGATCTTTCGCTATCGTTCCCATTGCGATTTCTTGATTTATCAGTGGAGTGTCGCACAGTGATTGATTTGTTTCTCGATTAACTCTTGATTCAAAAATAAACAACAAATTTCTAAATTAAGAATTTCTTGATTTTGGATAATTAATGTTTATAACTAACAAACGTTTTGCGTATTTGTTATACGTATGATTAACAATCGGAAAAATATAAACTCTCGAAGATTTATATTAAATTTTGTCTTCTATTGTTATAGTTAAAAAATTATTTGTATGAAGTGTTTAATTAATTATACAAATAGAAGACATCTATGAATCAAATTATCCAAAAATAAGAATATTTGTTTAGAATTTTTTTTTTTCTTTTGCTTCTATTTTTGAGAAGAATCGACCATTGTGCGTTATCTCTCCTTTCCATGCTCTATATATTTCTGAACTGTTAAAAACCTAGAAACAAACGTGACATTACAACGCCTACTTAATGGCCTCAAGGTGTGACCATTGCCATGAATGAAAGTAAACTTACGTAAGAGTGGCATCCTGACCTCTGAAACGTGACATCATCTTTAATTAAGCATTATGCTCGTCACTCGAGATCGAAAGCAGACCGAACTTTCTATGATTCATCTCTGTGGCGCTCGAGATTCTCACTCACGCGAAAATGAATCTAAACCTTTGACTCAATCGCGTCCGCACTTTATCTCCGTTGATTTCTGGCCGACCAAATCATCTGTCCTTCGTGACTTTTTTTTAGCGGACTATTCCGGAATTGCTTCGTCCATTATTTCGTTTTCGAATTGAAATTATACGTGATATACGGAAGCAGGACTTGATTGATGCACGAACAGAGCAATTTGTCATTACGATAAACATCTTAGGAAGTGTCTCGTTTCTTCAAAATGTTTGCCTTTGTTCTTCTTCGCGCTTGAAACTTCAACAATACCAAGAATGTTAATTTTATGCGGAACGTTAATTCCTATTGCATCAGGAAGACACACACTTGTTATGTAGTGCTACAGCACTCATCACACAAGCCTTTGGTTAATTATTGTAGGAACATAATTGAACCAATAACAAACATCGTCGATCCTTTAAACTGTTATGATTTTGTAAAAAGAGATCGTACTGTCTACTTCATCTTATTTCGAAGTATAAATCTTTTACTTTGACAGTCCTAAGTTTGTTCTTTACATCATGTAGCGAAATGAAAAAAGAGTATTTTTATCTTCGAAGCTTATAAAAAATTCAAAGATTTCTAAAAACATTGAAAAATTGTTATCACTAGATCGATCATCGTTTTGAAGATTGAAATTTTCTCTTTAAAATCTGCTGTACAATTATTTTTCGCCATTGTACACAATTTTTATACGTTACGTCTGTTACATATGAAATATTTTGAAATATTTTGAAATTTCATTAATGCTGTGATGAGAGATGAATATTATGATCATGTTGGGAAAGTTTAAAACTATTTTGAAAATATATATAGAAGTTAAAAGATATTGCAGACATATTTAATAGCCATGTTAAAGATGATTTTACTAAATATTGATGCATAATGGTTTGTTTAAATACTTTTATAGTCTTTATATACCTACTTGCGTTAAATTTTAATTCCGCAATTTTAATATATATTTTTCACACATCGTAGTCACGATAGTCGGTTCTCATTATAATGTTAATGAAATATTAAAATGTTTTATATGACACAATATATTCATAAAAGTACATACAAGTGTTCAGTAGTTTCGTGAATAACTATAGTTGTGATTTCATTTCCCCTGGCGCTAACAGAATTTCTTCGTTGTGTCAGCGGAGAATTTGACCATTATTCGTATCTGTCTTTCGTTCAGTCTAGAGTAATTAAATAAATTTTTATCAAAAATTATGGGAATTCGATTATGGTGAATTTAGAGATACCATGGTACTAACGAAAAGAAAAGTATTTCTATTTTTACTTTACATTAAATGCGTGACATCACGCGTCATCAGTTGCTATGAATAATTTGCATTCTAGAACACTTGTATATATTTACTTGTGTACAGTTGACTGTATAGTTTGTGCCGTTATTTTTAATCGAAAACAATATCATTAAGTGTGTGTGTATATAGGCCATAACTTCTTGAGGCTTACCAATTCACCAAAATAGCATCGGTTTCGTACGAAACCGGTTGAAGTAATCCTATGACGGCTGCACTATACGGGGATACTTTGTGCAATTTGATCGTTTGACATGTTATTTTATTACGCGATTAGTTGTCCATATGTCGGATTATTACGTATGTGTATTACACGATCAATCAATATATAGATACATATTTTTAATTGAACTAGTGCAATAGCACGTAGTAATATTATATCATACATTATATATAGGCTGGGTACAAGGACAAGAAATTTTCGATTATCAAACATTCCGATCGTTATGCAAGATTAAATGCTACTTAATAAAGTCCGCTACTGTCTGTGACTTTTTTCTAATGCGTATAGACAGTTTATGATTTTTCGACTTCACTATATTACTTTTACTACAGCGATTGAATGAAACGGAATTTCGAAATTTCGGAATTATGAAAAGATAAAAAGGTAGTAAGAAAGTGAAAAAGAATTAAAAAATAAGAGACTAAAAATATGGAAAAGCAAATAACATATAAAAAAAAAAAAAGAGCAAGAAATAAATTAATGTAAAAGCGGAAAGATTGTGAGAAAACGAATATTTACGAAACTTTGCCAAGTATCAATAGAGATAACGAAATGAAAGAGAAGCAGATTTCGCTTCGAAGAAACGGAAGTGAAAAATAGAATGAAAAAGATGTGCAAAAGATTCTTTTATCTGTTATTTCAACACATATCTGTTTAATTTTTGCAATAGTAGATGCGTTAAATTGGTTCCGTGCGCACCGTTACTTTTTCTGAAATGTCCGAAGAATAGTATATTCTAAAAAGTTAATCAGCGATATAAAGATTCGTGCCTATAAATTTGCGAAACGTCCGAAGAATCGTATATTCTAAAAAGTTAATCAGCGGTATAAAGATTCGTGCCTATACGTAGTATTTGCTTTGCTAAAGTGTTGTGATGTTTTCGCTTTGTTCGAGAAGAAGTGTATCATTAACAATGAAAATAGGTAACGGTCAATGTGAGCAAGTTGTCGTTTCTACTTTGCGACATGGCAATTAATCGCAACACTGTCGCGAGTTTCTTTGTCAAGGTTTGCATTTTAAACGATCGGCGGCTTTTGCGAATCGAGTTGTGATAAAAGCATCCGAGAAATTGGTACCAATTAATCGTATCGATTGTGTCTCGTAATTGCACGATTCTTGTAATTGAAACGAAATAATCATTGCCCTCCAAAGCTGGTAATCGTGTCAGTATCGGTGTAATGACTCTTTCAACGATTTATAGTTTTTCATTGACCTCGTCGATCGATTGGTGCATACAATTTAAGCTGCGTACACATTTGTTACCTAATGTTACTGTTACATTCATTATTTCATTTATTATATTAAAAGTCGTCATTCAGTATTATTTTCTTCGTTAATTATCAGAGTAAGTTTCATGTTTGAAGCGATTTCAGTAAAATTGAAGATAGAAAATAAAATACTATCGATTATGTCATTATGAAGATGAAGTTTCCTATAAACATATAGTTGTTAGACACATGCGTGTTACACACTCTAATATGCGCATCATACGTACTGTACTGATGTAATGGACCCGTCTATCACAACATAATATTTAAAAAAATATTAATTAGTGCAGATAGAAAAAACAGGAACATACTCTTTGTCCAGTGAAAAATCTCTAATGCACACATATTCAGATGTTGACGCTTAGAGCCACAGGATATGATGTGAACTAGCAAATATCTGCATAAAAAGCAAATATGGCTACATGTCACGGATTTCTTTTAATCGCACGTTTCACGCGCCACGTGTGTTTTAGTTCAAACAAATTTAAATTTGTTCACTTCCTTTGAAACAGGTCATTTTTCCGACTTTACACAGTAATATAAGAATGCCATAATACATTATCATAGGTAAATAGATCGCGATAATGGAGCAAGATAAAATAATGAATGTGTACGCACCTTTAGCCGCCGTTCGCGACTTTTCACGCGTAACTCGATCGAGAGCTCGTCCGTATAAAGATTGTCGTTAACGATCTTCGTTCGCTGCTTTCCTAGAATACGCGCGCGACCGATTATCGAACACAGAATTCGCTTTGCAATTGCGAGAATAAATTACGAGAAGTAATTGACAAGATGAAAAGTAGGTGACTCCTACTGGTACCTAGAGTCATCGATGACGCCATGTATGGCTGCGTTTGACGATGCAGAAAGTCCTTGAGGGATCTCCTAGAACGCAGCAACCCACCCAACGCGCATAATTCGTTGCGTCGCTGCGTGATCTCTTCCTTATTTCCGGAACGGGGAGGCGATTACTCGCACTCAGTGATTTCCCAGAACTCTTGGTAAGCGAAAGATCGCGGCACGATTCTCGCCGATGGATTCAGTCTTTCGTTCAATATCGGGGGACGAGTTTGCACTACCGAATCCTCGAAGGATGTTTTATAGATTTTACGATCGTTACCGGCTTTTCAACGATCGCCGCCTGAGGCCTTTCCCCTTCAGATTTTACTGTGAGTGCTTCGCGTTCGTCGCCGTCTCGTTTTTGAAATTGTTGATCTTTCCACGTGCGATATTCCTCCTTTCGAAATCTCGTAAATAACAAAAGACCGTAAAATGTTTGATCATTTTGTACAACATTTTACTCATGCGATCGCATCTCGATCTAATCCGCACCGTAGCTGGCGATCTGCCAATTTTTGTTAAATAATTTCAGGATATTTAGACCAACCAGTAAAGCGTATTTCATATTGGAAATATACATTGTCGTACACGAATGAAATCGAATTAATGAAAAATCTTGTGCTTGTATTCTGCTCGCAGGGGAAGACTTTGGTGTGCCAGTCTTGACAATTATAAGCGTGGATCCGTGTATCGCGGAAAATGGAGGAAATCATAGAACGTTCAGATACGACTTGATGGCCAGACAGGATGACAAATCCAGACTCGTCGTCAGACGGGGACAGGAATTTTACTTGCATTTGACTTTGTCCAGAGATTATGAGCCAAGAATTGATGGTATGTCGATAGTTTTCACGGTTGACGGAGTTGAGAGGCCGCAATACGGCCACGGAACCCTCGTCGCGATACCTGTTCTTTACCCGGGAGAACCGTCCGAGGGTTCCTGGCAAGCTACTATTGACGCCATTCAACCTAATTTCATTCGATTGAAGGTAAGTGATCGAAGGCGGACTGTCTTTCGTTCAATTTTTGATCCATGCGATCATGACACGAATTGTTTTCTTTCTTTCCTTTTACTTTCTCAGATCGTGACAGCTCCCGACGCGATAATAGGCAAATGGAAGATGGATATCGATACTAAAAATAAGAATTTGGATGGAGCCGTTAGTTACACAATGAAACAACCGTTCTATTTGATCTTCAATCCTTGGTGCAAAGGTAGGGAAACTGAATCTTGATAAAAGAAGAGAATGATTTCGCGACGACGCAGACGAGCATTTTCCGGCAAATTGATCGTCAAGTTTACACGTCCAATTTTTCTTGAAATTCGCAAACGAACGGTTTGCGTTAATTTGTCGCCGATTTTTGTATCCAAAAACCATTGCATCCAAATTACCACAATCTTGTGGTGTGTTAGTCAGTCTGGATTGATTTATATAAAGTAATATCTATACATACAATTGTATTTCATTGTTGAGTGGTAGCGTTGAGACTCATTCATTCGCGGTGAGACTGACATGCGTCTGTTTTGATGGAAACTTGCCGTTCGTTTCTAATATAATACAATTACGAGCTGGTGCGCCAACGATTTTTTGGGAACATTTCAGAGGACGCGGTGTACATGGAAGAAGAAGATAACCGACAGGAGTACGTGATGGCGGAGGATGGTTTGATATGGCGCGGAAGTTACAATCGTTTGAGACCAACAGTCTGGAAATATTCGCAGTTTGAGCGAGATATATTAGACTGCGCGCTGCATTTGATGATTCAAGTTGGGAAAGTTCGAGTCTCCGGTAGAAGTGATCCTGTCATCATATCTCGCATTTTGTCCGCAGCTGTAAATATCTCGAATCGATTCCACTCCGTTGTTTCTTGTTCCTTTTTTTTTTTTTTTTTTTTGTTCCCGGTTATATCACTGGGTTTGATAAACGGAAGTTGCTGCGTTACAGGTAAATTCACCGGATGACAACGGTGCGGTGATGGGCAATTGGTCAGACGATTTTGCGGGTGGTACACCACCAACCAAATGGTTGGGCTCGCAAAAAATCCTTCAACTATATTACAAGACGAAAAGACCGGTTAAGTATGGCCAATGCTGGGTATTCTCAGGAGTGTTGGCCACTGTTTGCCGCACCCTGGGACTGCCCTGTCGAATTGTAACCAATTACGCGAGCGCGCACGATACTCAAAGCAGTTTGACCGTCGATTATTTCGTCGATGCCGAGGGGAGAGTTATGGACGAGTTGAACAGCGATTCGATATGGTAAGTATTTTACCTACTTGCTTATGTATGTTGTAATTGCCACGATCGTACAGATATACACACCATTTGGTTTAATCATCTCTTATCGCAATCCGTAGGAATTTCCATGTGTGGAACGAGGTATGGATGACTCGGTTGGACCTGTCGTCGGAATATTCTGGTTGGCAAGCGATAGATGCAACTCCTCAAGAACTGAGCGAAGACGCGTATCGTTGCGGACCAGCTTCTGTCGCCGCTGTGAAGAAGGGCGAGGTCCTCCGACCTTACGACAATGCTTTCCTTTTTGCCGAGGTAAACGCGGACAAAGTATTCTGGCGTTACAACGGACCGACTCAACCTTTAAAGTTGATTCGAAAGGACGTATACGGGTGAGTGTTTCATAGGGATGGAATCAAGTTTAGTATGTACTTGCGAATCCGAGTTTCGTTTCACGGATCTTGAATATTCGAAAGCAAAAATGTTGTAATGGATTTGCAATGTATTCACGAGCTTCGTGTAATCGAGAAAATCTTTGTCACACTAAAAATCGTTTACCTGGATTCGTGGATTCTTTGAATCTTAAATCATGTATAAAAAAAAAAAAGGGAGGAATATGTTTCGTTCAGTCGAAAATATCTGATACATACATCAAAACCGCTTATACGGAATACCGTCTTAAAATATTCCAACCTACTTGTGAGGTACTGGATTCTATTTCTAGTATTTTACTTACATGTGATTTTTATATTCTTTTCTTTGTCATTGAGTTTTTCTTGATTCTAACAAAGCGATTTAATCTATATTCATTTTCTTTTCTTTAATATCTAGCATTGGACAATTAATTAGCACGAAAGCGGTCGGTAGATGGGCGAGGGAAGATATCACTCATACTTACAAGTATCCAGAAAGTAAGATATCTTTCATAGTAAATTCTCAATTTCTGTCAGGGTCTTAACACGTGGTGCGTTGTTTCTGCAGAATCGGAGGAAGAACGGGCTGCCATGTTAAAGGCGTTACGTCAAAGTCAATCGCTGTTCAGCCGTTATTACCTTAACGAAGAGTTTAACGAAATTATGTTCGCCTTCGAGCTACGTGACGATATCATCATCGGACAACCTTTCAGGTAAGTAATTTTTTCATTTATTTCGTTTCGTTACGTATAAATTTCCAATTGTCTTTCATATATTTACAAGACGGATCTCTCGTTACAGTGTCGTGTTGATGATTAAAAATAGAAGCAGCCATAGTGAATATCAAGTCTCAGTGATCTTGAGAGTAGAAACAGTTCTATACACCGGACGGGTCGGCGACCCAGTGAAAAGATTAAATATCGATCGATTGGTGAGACCGGAAGTTGTCGAGGAAGCACGTATGGAAGTGTCTTGGGAGGAATACGGACCTCGACTATTGAACCAATGCGCGTTCAACATTGCCTGTCTGGCCACTGTTAAGGACACTAATTTCGAATATTTCGCGCAGGACGATTTTCGTGTGAGAAAACCTGACGTTAAAATCATAGTATGTACCCTATATTTTATGACATAACCGAAAAACGAAACCCGAGTGAAATGTTGTGTAATAATTGTTTTCCTAGGTGAATAGTGAACCGGAAGTTGGCAGAACGCTGTACGCGACGGCGAAATTTAAAAATCCATTACCCATCCCATTGAGAAAGTGTAGATTCCTGATCGAAGGGCCAGGACTGGAGGAGCAGTTGAAATTGAAACTGTCAGAACAGGTAGAGGTGGACGCATACGCGGAATGTTCCTTCTCCATGGTACCGAAATACAAAGGACGCGCTACAATTGCTGTGAAATTTTACTCGAAAGAGCTCGAGGATGTTGACGGTTTCATCAATTTTATGGTGAAACCGACGAATGCCGTCACGAACGGCGAATAACTGCCGCTTAGGAAACGGAAATCGATAGCGTAAAGCATAAGCTATACGTTCACAGGTCTTCCATCAAGCTTTATCTTTTAAGTAAGTATACTCTCGTTGTTTTGTACAGGAAATAAATGTTTGAAAATCGCTTGTCTCTCATATACTGAATACCGAATATCGATAAAAGACATAGTGTCGAACAATTTTGTTAAGATACTATGCACGATACCCTTTTCCCTTTTGTGGCATCGATATCGAAAACGTTTAGAGCAGAATTTAGTACACATCTTGAATGTGTACTAAAATACACATGTGCATGTGGTATTGAAAATGTCTATTAAGGATCCTTAATTAAGGATCCATGTTTTTAACACACGTGTATATTATGGTATGTGCATCGTGAATTAAGGAATTGAGGATATTTATTTATTTATTTAGTCGAGACATTTGCTAGTTTACGTCACATCTTATAAGCCGACGTTTGCATTAGAAATTTTTTGATTGGATGAAGCACGTTTTTCATCATTGAATATTCTTCTTCATTGTATCTGTAAAAACTTTTGTTTTAATAAAATAAATTGCACGTGCATTTTACAATACGATTATTAATATATTAATGTATGATTAATGTAAAATAAAACATGTAATAATATATGAAATAATTGTTTTAAAATGAATTGAATGTATATATTTAAACACACAGAAACACAGTTATATCCGTTTATTAAAAATTACACAGATTGATATCCAAATTCATTCATCACGCGTATATATGTACGTGTGTTTATATGTACACGTGAAATAAGGATCTCTAGTTTAGAAATGTCAGAAACGAAGAAGCGGTAGAACGAATGGAATACCGGTTCAGAACAGGCTTCTACGTTAGGCCAATAAAAAATTCAATCGACAGAGAACTACCTGAGCAGCGTGGATAGCCAGCGACTACCGACCATACGCGGCAGGCAATATTAACGAGCGGCAATTGAAAGAGTCCGTTGTGTCGTGCGCGTGATTATTCAGAATACCAGACGGGACGAGACGTAGAGGAGGGAGAAGAAGATGAGAAAGAAATCGGACGAGGGTGAGAGAGGAACAAGAGGAACGATCGCGATGATGATGAACGCACGCACGACACTGACGCGAGTCATGTATCACCATCTAGGAAATTAACGTTGAAATATTATGTACGATGAATGAAACCGATAGCGAGACAACCGGCCGAAGAAAGTCGAGTTCCGATCGTGTCGCTGGAAAAGGAATCACCTAATCGACTCGATCGACTGGCAAATTTCATCGAACGTTGATTCCAATCGATCGATTGGAATTAAAGGGGGGATAGGGGAATCGATGACGGACGTTGATTTATTATCATTTATCGAAACGAAAGTGTTTCGTGCATTTCTTGAATTTACTTACTGTCTAGCTTATTTACTCGTGAGTTGGAATTGAGATTAGATTAATGTATATTTTAATCACTGGTGAACTGGAACTGCATAGAAGTTAGGTAGTATCTTTATAACGGGAGGATTTTGGTGGAATGAAGGAGAGGAGAACGCAACGATAAGCTGGTAGCAAGTGAAGACGAATACGAGGATCGTAGACGGGGGAAGAAAAATGGTAAACGAAAACGTTGGAGTCGAAGAGAGCCAAGGGGGTGGATGGAGGAGAGTCGCGAGGATGCCGACGGGAGGTGAGTCACGGAGTGAAGAGAGAAAGAGAGGAAGGAGAGGAGGAAGAGAGGAAGAGAAGAAGAGAGGAAGAACGATATGGTAGATAGTAGTGAGATATGTCTAAATACATAACCGTGACACGTGATGGACGTGTTGCGGCCCCTGTCTACAGGGGTCTCGTAGAAGCCTACGGGGCCCGTACCGATCTCCATTTGGATCCACGGGATTCTGGACTTGGCACCCTGCTACGCGCCATGCATCAACACCCAAGATCCATCCCATTATACCTCATCAGAATAACAAACACGCCTTCCATGCTAAACCAACATTCTTTTGTTCCCATCGAATCCCAGGATCCATCAGAATCGCCGCGAACCTTGCGCGTCAGTGACGTATGTGTTTTCGTGTAGCTAACAGGCGATAGGGGGTCTTGCAAGCCTACAAGAATGCGAGAAGATATTGTGAAATATTATTCGATAGCAGAAGTGGTGGTCGAAGATACAACCGACCTTTTACGAAATTCCTCTTCGCTTCTCCAGTTTCCACGGTTTGCTAATTTTCTATAGAGGTTGGATCATGGCCAGTTTTATTGTTTGCGGAGGTCCCTATTTCACGTGTATTCAAAAGTCTTTGGACAAATGCTATATTTGTTTGAAAACTAGAAATAATTAAATGATTACTTTGTAGAAGTAAGAATCTACAAAGTATTAGTGTATTAAACACAAATGTGTTGACAACGTGTCCGATGATGGAAAATATGAATTGAAAGATAAGTTAATTATGAAATTGCGAAATTAAATTGCGGCATACGTTTGAATTCAAAAATCGCATCTTGGGAGGCAAAGTTACATCAATATGAAAATTGAATTTCCTACAAAACATTGTGCGCATGCGCGTTAGATACGTGCGCATTAGACACCTGCGCATCGAAAGTTTGTAAGTAGCGGTGCAGTAGGCCGCAACGGTCGTTTGTGCAACGTTTGAAAATCATGTGCGTAGAAAAAGAAGAATATGCTTCCTCCAGACAAAGATTCCTGACACACACGTCGAGACGCTAACGCTTATAAGAAATCTCGTCTTTAGAGCCGCATGATGCGTTATAAACTAGCAAATCAGTATCGACTGCACAAGGTGAGCATGAATCCTTAATTTCGTGTATTAAGGATAGAGATTCGTGTATTAAGGATAGAGATTCTTTCGGATTTCTTAACACACGTTCGAAATCGCGATCTCTAGCTATTTGTCGCCAAACGCGACCAATTCTTATTTTGTACATGTCACTCATTCGATTTCATCTGCTTCGAAAGGGTAAGCGATCGCGTCTTATCATCCCTCTTGAACGAACCGCTTGCTTCGAAGATGCGTTTCTAGATGGCAGCACGGTCTCGAATTATCGAAGGGATGCATCTCGCGTAGCTGAAAAATTGATAAATAACGACGAACGAAAAACATGGACGACGACGACGACGAAGAATCTTCTGGCAAACGAAGATATCGATTTGGTAAATACAATTTCATTTGTTAAAGAAAGTTTCGACGTATGGACGAAAATTTCGTGTTTAAAGCGGGGCATAAAGGTAATAAATTAATCGTGCCGTCCGCGATGTCGTTGCGCATCGATAGTTTAGTGGCGATCGTAAACAATCATAATGGGGATCACGTGGTATGCGAGCGACCGCGATAACGTTTAATACGGTTCGTTACGTTCTCTATATTTGATCGGCGAACAACTGCGTCGTTACTCGACGTACGTACCCGTCGTACGTGATACATACGGAGGTAAATGGAAAGAACCTCCGACGACAAAACCCGGATGAAACGGGGAAAAAAGAAACACTCTTTCAATTACCAATTCGAGATAACAACCGGTCGACGTAGGAAATCCCTGGTTTCTGATTCGACGGGCTCTAATCGATCCTCCGACGTGTCGTGCAGCATGTGTCCAGCTCGACCACAATGGTCGACTTAATTTCGCGATTCGAAGCAACATTTGGAAGTGGCGTGCATCCAGCTGCGTGCACGTGTACATAATGTTTTCTGTCATCAGGAAAACTCTCCGCAGTAAAAGCCTCGAAACGATTACGAGCTTCCCTTTTACGTCTCTCGACCTTTATTTCTTACGATTCGTTCCCGGTATATAGTAGGTAACATAGACCACCGTCGGTCCTTGGGACGTTTCCTTGGAGACTATATATTTTTTAGGCGAAAGTTGGTTGGCCAAAAATTGCTGAAAAGTTGAAAGATCGGACGGGTGTGGTGATCTTTTAAAAACGTGTACGGCAGATATATATTTTCAATCGCGCTTCTGACAACTCGTCACATCCCTCGACAGTTTGCCGTTTACCTTTTTCTGTTTGCACAAGCAACCCCGGCGTGATTCTTCGGTATTGTCAGCAAACAAAACTACCGAACGACGAGAGGAAAGGTAATTCGTCGAATGGATGTCTGTGGTGAAATGTTTCTTGCAGCCAAAATAGGAGGACCACCGCATCCTCTTTTGTGAATAGGTATCTTTTCTGTTTGCATTTAACGCTAGAACCACCGAAGTCAAAGCGAACAATTCATAACTTTCTTACGGAAATCTTGTAAATTTGCACTACATTTTTGGAGATTTGAATAATTCTCTTTTTTTTTTTTTTTAAAAGTAATAAAAAAAGGTTTAGATTAGACCATATTTTTAGGAAACAAAATTACATTTAATAAGAACGACAAATGTAGATTATTGATGTGGATTATTATAATATGATAAAGAATATAATATTTCGTAAATTATTCTCATAGTATTCCTATGTTAAACTTTCTTTCGTCTGCCGCTGAAAGAATATCTTCTTTCTTAATCTCACGTATACTTATCCCAGTCCGTCCTTTCTAACAATGATAAATGTGACAATAATGACAATTAATATAATTGTTATCTCTAAGAAGAAAAACATTTTGTACATTCTACATTTGAAACAGAAAGTATCTCGCTATGGCTCGACCCAATATGATCTGCCTTGCACGTCACCAGTCTCTTTCTCAATAAAAAAATTATATCTCAATTGCCACTGGTTCTGGTGTTGAACAACAAAGTTACGTTTCACCCATCTCAGACATCGATCTTCGCTATCAGAGATTAATTTCCTTGTCGGAAACTCCGGTAGAACGAAAGCTCTCGAGTCGCCCTATAACTCGAATCGCGTCGTATCGAATTCGAATCTAATTTGCAATCGGAATGGCTGTTTACCCACGTATAAGCCTGAACAGTTGCGAGCGGCTGGCAGCGTATTTGCGCGAGGATTTCGTCGAGGCGGTAGAAAGGAGCGGCCAAATTGGCCCGGCCGATCACACCGCCTTCCTTCGTACGCTGCACGAGGGAGGCAGGGTGGTATCCAGGGATCGTAGGAGGGATCCCGAAGACGAAGCGAACCAGAGAGAGAGACAGGGAAAAAGGGAGAGATATGGCGCGACTACCTTATTACGCATGCACCCTGCCTAA